TAGCGGTTAGTTACCATAATTTGAGTTGTGTTAGAACATATCCTAAAAGAATAAGATAACTCCCTTTTAAGGGTGTAAAAGAGATTCAAGAGTATCAATTCAGTACCTTGTCAAAGAAAAACAAATCACTTGATCTTAACTGCTCACAATGCTAACCTTCCCCAGATTCCTTGCACTGATGCACTAGTGAGTCTCTGGATATAGCCAAAGTGATTAATACCCAATATTTGAAAAATTGGCAGTCTATGGCAGCATGATGAAAGGAGGTGTACGTGGGACAATAAAGACGTAGAAGAAGAAAAAAGAGGCAAAAGACAACACGAAAAGAGACAATAACGTGGAGCCATTCAGAATAAAAAATGCCAAATCCAATAGAAACCCTGATTTCTAAAGACACTCAAGTCTTCATTAATATACACATATTTAGTGTACAATTATACATATGAATCACAAAAGTCCTAAAAGAACACGCAAAAGTTGAATTACAAGGGTGCAATTCACGAAGATAGAACAGCACCCTCAACCCATCATTGACAAAATGCTCAGACATACATGCATGCATGCTCAAAGTCTCCTTTTTCACTTTTTCTCTCTCCTCTCCTTTCCTGATCAGCATTGAAGAAAACAAAAACGAAGCCAAGCTTCAACGATTGTGAAGAGGGTCTGAGACATTTGGGACTCTCCTTTTGCTTGTAAAGAACACGTCCAAAGAGTGCTTCACTCTCTGCTTTTGCTGAAATCGTTGCCCTTCTTGTTGTTCCTGCTGCTGCTGCTGCTTTGTTTCTGGTTCATTTTGTTTCTTTTCTTGCAGTTCTGATACTAACTTCTTGTGCATGTCAACCACCAATGAGTCCTCGCCGGAGATCAGCAATGAGAGAAAAATTAACACCATTAACTTCTGCAACAACCCAACTTTTACAGACTGCTGAATTTGCATTCTTCTGGAGAGAGAGAGAGTGTGTGTGTGTGTGTTATGCAATGGAAACGCCAGAAAATGAGATAGGTTTTGGGGGTCCAGTTCTAGAGAGAGAGGAGGGAAGAGAAGGAGGAAAGCTAAATGGCTTTGTTAGGCAAATGTAAAACTGGAGAAAGGGAGAGAAAAAGGGCAGGTAGTGTTATTGAGTACACAGCCTGCAAATAAGGGACACAGTTCACGAAGGAACTTTTTTTCTTTACTTTATATATTCTTTATGCTACAAGAGAACTTTTCTTTCTGAAATATGATCACTCCAAGTTCATTTTAATTTTAGGTGTAATAGGGCATGCAGATCTTGGCTTTTGTGCTTTATCTTTGTCTGGGTACTGTTTGCTGCTTTGGAAAATAGTCAATTTTACTTTTTATAGCTGCAGAAAAATGTTCTCTGGTTTACGCCTCAAAAAGTGTGAAGAAAAAACAGAGATTTGTACGAGCTATCTTGTTGATGTTTACAAGAGGTCTTTGATTCTTCTGTATAAAGCTACTGAGCTCCATTTACAGTACCAAAACGTAAATTTTGTGATAACTTATTTTTACTTTTCATTTAATAAAAAATATCTTATAAGAAATTTTTTTTATTATTATAGCTTTATTATTTTTTAACCAATGATTATAAATCATTAAAACCAAAATCAACTATTCAAAAGACACTTTACGGTTTGGTTACATTTTGAGCTGAAGACGTACCACTTATTCAATACTAATAATTTATTAAATCAAAATTTTAAATTTATTTAACATTTTTCTTTTTGGTATGATCGATCTGAAAATGAAGTTCCTTTTCTGAGTGGTCGATTTTTGAGTAAGGCATTACAGACGGTCCTTCCTGATGGAGTGTCGTATTATGGCTCTGAGATTCAAGTGTACTACAAACATGGTTGATCCGATCCAGGGGTCATATGGCCAGTGTCTTAAATGTGCTTCCATGACCAATGGACAGTGGTATCTTGAGAGCACAATTATTAGAAATTGTCCAGCCATCGAATTGAATTGATAAAAGAAATAGGAATAATAGTTCGCTCGTTTAATTGTTGGATTAAATGATCGGATTTTTTGTATAATAAAAAAATAAGAAATATTATTAATAATAATGACTATATTAAAATTTTTGAATAGGTACATAAAAAAATATTTTTATGCTATAATGGATCAAATAAGAAATTAAGAACACAAAAAAAAAAAAAATCACTTCCTTTCTTAGACAAATTTATAAAATTTGATAGAATATTAACAATCCACACAGCATTATTCCCCCATGAAACGAGCTTCTCATGAAACCACTTCCTCATGAAAACTGATCACTGCTAGACTTGGAAGACAAGAACATAGGAATGGTGAAGACAAGATGAAACTAATCAGCCTCCACATCGCAACTCCCTAATGATTATGTCTGTTCGCGCAACAACAAGCCAACAACAACATATACACAGACAAATCATAGGCAGAGAGAGAGAGACAAGACTCGAGGAGAGGATAGATCGAGATTTTAGTAGGTGTTGACATTGAATGGACTGGAGGCAGCAATCGAATGGACTAGAGAAAGAGAGGAAGAAATGGTGTGGAGAAAAAGAAGGAGACGTATTGGATTAGGGCAAAATTATGGATTTTGGGTCTTTTTATAAAAATGGCAATAGAATCGGCCGGTTTGACAAAGTCATCCAATTCACGGTTTTTGTAACAAATTGGCTGATTTGACGATTTTACTCTAGTTTAACTGTTTAAGCGATCCAATTCAAGAACTAGACCAGTTGAGGTCTCGGTTCACAGTTCAATCAATCGAACCGATTGATCTAGTTTGGTTCTGATAATATTACTTGATAGTATCTTTGACCTATACCCTTCCATTCATGGCCTTGACTATAATATCAAAAAAATAATTTTAATATCGTACTTCTAATGAGTGTTTTTAAGTTGTTGGGTGGCACGAGAGAAGAATAAACAACATACAAATGTAAACTCTTATAAACATAAACATCCAATAATGTTATGCTTATCAAATTTTTTATCAAGTTTTTCATACCAATTGATATGACACAATCAATGATCAATTCTTTGTTTCGGTGCATAGTTTCGGTCACCTAAAAAATAGAAACATTTCAACGTGTTTCGAAAACGTTTCAACTCGTTTCAAAAATAGAATGATAAAAAATAAAAAATTTTAAGTATTATGTTTTCAAAATATTTGTCGAAATATACTAAAATATCTTGAAATACCTTGAAATATTATGAAATTATTGTGCAAATGCATTAAAATAAAACAAAATATTTTGAAAGATTATGGAACACTTCGAAGACTTAAAATTTCGATTCCATCATGTTTCTTTAGAAATAAAAACGTTTTGGATGTTTTGACCATTTAAAAACGATATTTTGATCCTTAAACATAATATTTATCATTGAATATTAATGAGAGTTATTTATTTGATGGTGAAAACTATCTCACATCACTTGAGATAAAATATTTAATAAAAAATTTTGGTCAACATAACATTATTATGCTTGCCCCTCTGTAACTAGAGCTCTATTGGTCCGGTTGTTGAGAAATAATTCCTCTCTAAATAAAACAAAAAGTAAAAATGAAAAAAGCAGATATATTTTTTCCTTGAAAACACAAGTTTTCCATTAAAATCTACATCCATCTTTATGGCCACCAGCACTAGTGAAATTCTTCCAAAATCCACTAAGTCGAGTTGTCTTCTTCGGATATTAATGAATTTTTGATTCAATGATATTCTTTATCTTATAAAAATTTTATCTTCTTAAAATTAATGGTTTTAAGTCTCTCACCCCCTTCTCTCCCCCCCCCCCCCCTCCAACACCAAAAAAAAAAATTGGGTTAATTATATAAGAAATTCTCAAAGTATGAGGTTTATCTTATTTTGGTCTCTAATATTTTAATTGCATCGTTTTGTTCCTTGCAGTGTTGAATATATTTTTATGTGGTCTCTCAAACAGACAATATCTAGATTACTAACTATTTTTTATTATAAACTTATCACTTAATACTTAAATATGGGCAAAGAAATAATTGAGATAACTCTTGACTAAATTTCTACTCAAATTTGGTCAAAAAACTATCCAAATTCTACATTTTTGATCATGACCTATCCAAAATTTGGTCAAAGAACTACCCATATTACAAATTTTTGGTTGGGAGTTACCCAAATTATTTTTTGTCAATATTTATTTATCACATGACAAATTTATAATAAAAAAACTATTAAACTAAATTATTGAGAATCAAAATGAGAAGAAATCCTATACTTTTGGGACTTATAGTACAATTAACCTAAAAAAATAATGTGTCAAGTGACAGAATTTCGACATCCCTTAAATTGTATCTTTTTTTCTTTTTCTTTTTTAAAAAGAAAAAGTTTATTGATATCCATAAAAATTATAAAATTTTAGGAAACATTATCTTTGTCCCCCAAAACAGAAATACATGCTTCTTACAGAAAAATTCCTCAATAAAATCAGAATAAAAAAATGAAAAAAAAATTCTTTCGAAGAATTCGTATGTAACGCTGATCTTGCAGCAGAACAAGGTATTACTGGTGGAGATTTGTGAATGTGTGTGGGTGAGCATTTGACTATGTAAGGGTGAATATTTGTCGCGAGTGTTGATGTGTGTATGTGATTCTTAAGAGAGAACAACGTAGGCTCTTTGTTGATGTCTATTCCATGTGTTACTATTCTTATGCATCTTTTTATTTGTCGTTGTCATTTTTTTGCTATGATGCAATCGATTAAACATTAAATTTTTCAAGTATGTAATTCATTGCGGATGTCACCAAGAGTTGGCGCATGACAATTGGCAAAGCAAGAAGTTGGCCATTGTTAGATCTCTGATTGGGAAACTTCAAAAATGGTCTTTGATTTTGCAGAAATTAAATAAAATAATTGAAGAAAAATCTTCAAAAGCGATATACAAGCTTATGCTCAGTTGATTTAGAATTCAAAGAACTTATTTGGGTCACATATCATCTAAATCCATGGTAACAAGCAATTGTGCAATACTGTCTGTATTTTAGATGAAACAACTGCCGTTCTCATCTCAGTAACAAAATCCTGTAGCAGCGCCATGCATGTTCTGTATGTGCACATCCAAGCACAAAATCGGTTTAGAAAACCAACAGCCCAAGCAAACCAAATCAGTTAGAAAATCTCTCCATCAAACAGGACTAGCCAGTGGAACACGCCAATTTTCCAGTGTAAGAATACAGTTATGCATCTTGCTTCCAAGCTTTACCCACACGGAGAATCTTCACTGATTCCTCAAAAATTGCAAATCATAAACTATTACGCGTAGTGTTATTCTTTAGCATCTTCAAAAAATGATTGTGGTATCTCTGGCAGGGAAGATAATGTTGACACGCATTTGAACTGTTCCACAAATGGCATGAAATTCAATCAGATACTAACTTTCACAGTAAAATTAGTACTTAGTGATCATCAAATTTTGAATAACTTATACCTTATGCTGCTTGTATTTTTCTCTCACTGCCACCAAAGAGCTTCCTCTTTTACTCAATTGCAATTCATGTATAAGACAGACACAGTCCTTTAAATCAACTGGTTTATACCCTGAATATTGTTGCAGTGCTGAACTCTGTATAGGATGTAAAATTTAGCTACCATCTTCCATGTATGAAGCATATAGAAGCAACAGGGAATAATTAAAACCCAAGTACCTACCCAAGGATGCAACTTAGGTCGGAGTGTGAACCTTGAAAGGAATATAACAGATGCAGCCACCAACGAAGGTAAGAATCTTATACAGCAATAATCTAATAAACTCAACTCTGCTAGGTAGTATCCCAAGAACTCAAGTTGCAAATTAGAAGTCTGTAAAAGGCCAAAAAACATGTATTAGCACCAAATGACCAAAATGTGAGCATGTGTGTGAAAGAGAATGAGACAGGGTTAACGCTTACATTATAATCTTCTTGACCAACCGTGGTGAATCTTCTGCATACCCACAAGAGAAAAAACAACAACAATCAGCCAAATGGACCCTAAATCTTACTGCACATTACACAACCAAAAAACTAAAGCTAGGACATCGAGAGTGTTACAATACCTGAGAAATGTCTTAATTGTAGGATTTCCCATTTCAAACTTTAGAGATTTGAGTACGTCAGCTTCCATCTTCACCACCTCTTCTTTACTGTACGTATTATCAGTGATGTAACAAAAATCTTCCACATGGGGAGGGTTGATTTCTTCATACTTCCTATTCCATCAACACAACACAAAAATTCATAAGCAAAAACCCAAAAAGCATTACTCAGAAAGTAGTTTTAAAACCACATCTTGATGCTTACGAGGCAATGAGCATTGAAGTGACACCCAAAAGCTGAAGCCTTTGCCTATTAAGAACATTCATCGATAAGAATCGATCAATATAAGAAACCGTGAGGTACAGTGTGTCTGATAGAAGCTTGTATTCCGCTGCCACCTCAACCAACCAATCCACCAAAACCCCTCTCATGTTAGCACTCACATCTTTCTGAACCTTCTCGATGTAATCCGGCAATGGTCTTCTCTTTGCTTCCATCTGGATAACGAAACTAATATTTATCAAAACTCCAAACCCTAATTCTGAATACTCACTACAAAATTGAACCTAAAACTCATTAAAATCACACAGACCAATCAATCAAAGTGAACCAATACATAAAACTAACACGAGCCCATTTCTTAATTTTCAACAAATATGACAATCCCTTTACATTCAGGCCAGATTAACAAAGAACCTTATCAAACCCAAAAGCCCTAAATCTAAATATTAATTGACGAATAAAAAGTGAAGTAATTCCTAAAATTAACAGCAACCCATTGCTTGACTCTCCAAAAATAAGATAACCAGTTTTAAATTATACTTAATTAACAAATAAGTGACAGAGACTTCACTCACCTCCATGCTGCGAAGATACTCGTATATCTCAGAAACATAGGATCCACACATTTGGGGATCATCTGATTTGGCATCGATATCTTCAGCATTCTTTTTCGTCACCGTCGCTGCTGTCACTGCCTTTTTGAACTTCTTTTTTGACCTACATATTGGTTTCCGAAGCTCAGAACCCAAGTTTTGATTCGGATTCCGATTCGCTACTATATTCGACAATTTCTGAAGCTCTCCCAACACCACTCTCTTCTTGTTAGCAGACTGTTGTACTTGTTGAGACTCACCCAATGCCATTGCCTCTGCTGCCCTCTTCTTCCCTAAGCGCGTGACTCTCCTGCAGTTCTCTTGGTCCGTCATTGTTTTCTAACTTTCTGTTATAAATTGGAAAAACTGGGGTTAGTGTTTCCCGGAACGGATAGGGTAACAGAAAGAACGAGAGAGAGAGACGGGGAAGACAAAGAAGGGAAGAAGAGAGACCAGTGGATGACTCTGTAATGGTGTGAGTGTTTGAAGAACATAAGTACCGCCATTTCTGTTGTTTCAAAAATTCCTTGTTTGCGACTTGAAATGTGATTTGGCTTGTTTTTGGATTTACATTTGGATTCGAATTTTCTTTGATCTTTGATTTCCCGGTTTCCCTTTCTGCTTTTCATCATGATATGAGAACCGGGGCCCACAATTTTTGGTTCTTATCCTATGATAATTATAAAAAATATTATTTAAACTTAAAAGTTAAACTAATGTTACATAAATTTAAAAAATAAATTTAAAAAATAAACTTATTAATTACAATTATTGAATAGGCAGTGGGTCCCTACAAATGTAAAGACTAACAATGAAATCAATAGTTGTAATTATCAAGTCTACTTTTTAAATCTAATTTTTAAGTTCATATAACATTACTCTAAAACTTAGTACTTAATCGGATTAAGAGTAGATTTCATTTAACATTGAAATTCAACTAATACAATAATAATATTGAATTAAATTTTTGATGAAGTCTCTAAATTCAATTCCTATAACATTGATAAATCCATCTTGGACCATATTCTCATTCTTCTAAGTAAGAGACTGAGCAAGGAGGTATAAACAGAAGACAATCCCCTTTCAAATTTGACAAGATGTGATTGAAAAATGAAGGTTTTCTAGAAAAAAAATCACTTTTTTGTGGCTTTTCCTTTTCGTTTCAAGAGAAAGCAAACCAGTAGGATAGTTTAATGGGGTATTAATCGAATTTCTCACCTTAAGATTGAAGATTCAAGTTTTAGAGTTTACATTGAAGCTTGGTGGTTGACCATTATATTAGCCTAGTTAGATTTATTCTCAAGAAGAGTAACAGATACAATCAGGAGTCTCATTATCTCATTAGTAATGGTTTATTGACGTGGTCTCTGAGTGCCCTCATTTACCCCATTCCTTTTTCTCTAGCAAAAAAGAAAAATGCCTCATTTCATATATTAATGTTTAGGTTACATTATTATAAGTTGGCTTGCAATTTTTCACCAGATTTTTCACCTCATTCATATATTTGTGAATGAGGCATTATGGAAGGTTGAGGAGGTGCAGATCAATTTTTCACCAGATACTGCCCAAGAGATACTGGCTATCCCTCTTAGTGAAACACCCCAGATTGAGGAAATCAAATGGAAGTTTACAAGCAATGGAGTCTATTATGTTAAAAGTGGACATCATATGCAAGCACAAAGAGCTCAAGCACCTCAGGCCAAAGCCACTGCCTCCTCATTTTATCAAGCTCCAGAAGGGCTATGGAGGAGTATTTGGAAGAGCAAGGTGCACCCCAAAATACAAGCATTTATGTGGAAAGTTGCAAATGGAGCATTGACAACTAAATGGGAGCTATGGAGGAGAAAGCTATCAATTTCACCAACTTGCCCCATATGTGGAGAGGAAGAAGAGACCATTAAACACTTGCTATTACTTTGTCCATGGGTGCAAATGATGTGGAGGAATTCCCCCCTAAGCATTAAGATTGACAGGTATGGCATAAGTAGATTTGAAACTTGGTTTATTAGGTAGCTACAAACCAGCAAGTTATGTGGTGAAGGAGAACAAGAAAGACAAACTCTACTAATGTACCTATGTTGGTTCACATGGAAGTCCAAGAATGATTGGGCTTTCAACCATAAAAAGCCATGCAATAAATCTGCTATTATAAATGCTGTAACAGTGGTGGAAGAATTGAACAATTGCAAGGGTGTATCTATAAAGGGTGGGAACTCATCTAGTGAACCTAAAATGGCATGGCAATTGCCTCCGTAGGGAGTTTTGAAGATTAATTGCGATGGAGCTTGGATGGAAAGGACAAAGGAGGGAACTTATGGTATCATAGTTCGAGATTGTGAAGGCATAGTGCTCATGGCTAAGGCCGAAACCGTGGTAGCAGCTTCTGCCTTAATGACAGAGGCTTATGCAGTCAGGCGAGCGTGCAAGACTGTTGTGGAGCAGAGCTATGGTGCAGTCATTGTTGAATCGGACTCAAAACAACTTATAGATTCTATCAATGGGGATACTTTGAAAGGGATTGCAGCTTTACAAAAGGACATATGGAGCTATGCTCAATTACTCTCAATGTTGAAGTTCCAGGCAACACGAAAGACCCAGAACAAGGCTGCCCATATGCTTGCAGCCTATTCTAGAAGTGAGAAACTTAATGTACTAGGGAAAGATTGCCTCCCTCAATTTGTGATGCATATTGTTAGGATGGAAGCTAGAAGAGGAGTAGGATGAGTGAATCAAATTGTAAAGAGTAATATGTTTCTTGTTTGTAGAGTCTTATATTTCTTGACCAAAAAAAAAAAGCCAAAGGCAAAACAAAATTACGAAATACAAGCAGCTTTCCAGTTGTGTTGAAGTGTTGATAGACTAATATCTTGAAACTCTTAGTAACAATAGCTCGTAAAGATGCCAAAAATTTCACTCTTTCTTATAACAATCATTTTCAAATTATTCTGCAGTTACCCTCGATACAAACTATCCAAAAATGACCAAAATTGCACAATTCCATAATGTTAAAGCTTTTTTTTTCCTTTTCCAAAACTATCCAATTGCAATATCAAGAGAGAAGCAATAACAAAGAGTAACCCATATCAAATCCGCTTCTTTTAAGAGTTTGTGCCACAATAAAATAGTAATAGGACAATGAAGGAAACACTTTCACTACTTTGTTTACACAAAGCACACCATTTTGGGGAAATAAATGAGGCTAAAAAATAGTGTCATTAGAGTTATCAATCAAACATTCAAAGTACGAGCTACAAGAGAATTTTTGGGATGAATCAAGAGACCACAACCTCTTATCATTAACTCACAGAATGAAAGAAATTGAATCAAGCAATGAAAGAAGTGAAGAACACTCTGAAATATCCTAATCACTTAGATTACGAAAGAAATTAAGTTTCTCCCCCCTCCCAAGAATAAGACAAACTACACCCCTTAGTTACTAGAGTATTATGAAATCTTGATAATCTAAAAAGTCTAGGAAATATTAAATCAAGAGATGACTCACCAATCCAAGAATTCTCCCGAAAGCAAATTCTTTTCGCATTCCCAAACCTCATTGTGATATACTTGTTGGAAAAAATGGTTTTGAGGTAGTTAATTTTGAGCAACTTTGAGTTTAAATAAAAGTGGAACCCACAATTCATAATCAGTGGGATCAAGTTTAAATGCGTTATCCTCCACGAGAGTATATTTATTTAAAACCATTAAGTATTGAATGAGAAATCATGTCTCAAAGTGACCCCCATAAAATGATGAAGGAAAAAAGTCTAATAAAGTGGAGTGTATAAGGCTTGTCCCACATTGGGAATAAACCAAAAACATGGTGAGTTTATATACTCCTAGCTTGTTTTATGGGTTGGGTCCTAAGGGGTACCACATTTTTGTGAGCGGAGCGAGCACTTACATAACCTTAGTTACCATGTGCGCACGATTGGCTGGGCTAGGCTTGGGCCTTGGGTCAAAAGATGTTATCTCTTTTGGAGAAATTTTATCTGGTGCGGTGGAGGTTGTGGATAAAACCGAACATAGGTCGAACTTGTTTGTTATTTTTGAATTTGGCTCCCATTTTTTGTTTGTGCTTGTTCACGCTCAAGGGATGCCATTCATCTTTGTTCTTTGAACAGTAGTGTCTCTCCACGCCCTGGGATGCTTGTCATAAATGTTCACTGAACACAGGCATCTTGTGCCTCTTTAGGCAATCCATTCATACATGAAGAGGTCTATAAATAGACTACCTTCAAACCATTTCAAGATACAAAAACAAACAGTAATTCTGCATACCATTGGATCTACTATGTCTCTTTGCATTACATTTTTGATTCAATTTGATTCAAGTACAAGACACAGAGTTGTGTTCGTTAATCTTTGGAGAGTGAAGTGTCACTTCTGCAAACCCGAAATTCATTCTATCTTGGGAGACTGTTGCATATCAACCTTAAGCACCGAGAGGGAATGAATCTATTTTAAAGAAACTCTGACTACACAAGGATCAGATTATTTTTGGATTTTGGATTCTTATTATCTTTTTGATTATTATGATTGTTATGCATTCTGCAAGTGCTCCAATTTCTATTTTGACTATACATTATGATTTATATAAATAATTTGCATAGAACAGTAAACGTAGTAGATTTAGAATTTGCAATAGTAATTAGTCCATTAATCTGATTATATATTTCTATATATGTATTTCAGATAACAACACTTTCTAAAATCTTACAAACCTTGTTAAATAATTTTCCAAGGATTGTGAAAGAAGTCCCTACTCACCACATTGGAGTCTCATCCATTGGCATGGATTCCATACTTATTTTTGATAATAGAATGCCACAAAGAATGAGGTTTCAATGGAAACCTCCAAAACCACTTGTCTTATAGTGCCAGATTTCTCTGGACTAGATTTCCTATGGACAACCCCTCCCCCCCCTTTTTGTAAGATTTTGATATCACTTCCCACCTGGTGAGATGATCTTTCTTTCTTTCCCCACTTTCCTATAGAAAATTTCTCATCATCTTTTCTTGAATCTTAACAACAGTATATTTGGTTTTACACATTGGTTGCTCAAGTACATATATACCCTTGCTGCATTGAGCAACATTCATTCAAATATCTCTACTATTGTATCTACATATCTTTTTGAACATTGCATCTAGTACATACTCTCCTTGTTCTTAATTCATTTCAGCTTACAATAAACATCTCCCATGCTTATACGCTCATTCGGAGAATCACAAGTGCAAGATAGCCCGACATCAATGATTGTTTCAGGCAATCCCACTTTGTTTATGAACTTATGGATTGATTATCATAACAAAGGTTTTCAATGTCTAAAAGT